GTGTCAAACTCTGCACAGACAGCACTCTGCACAGTGAAGATCAAACATTTAACTGTAGGAATAATTTTTGGCTGGAGGAGGACTTTTCATCTATTACCATATATATAGCCCACAATTGCTTTGTCACCATTATACCTTTCAAGAATAAAACATGAAACAGCACTTTTTCTAAAAGGAATTTGGAAAGGAGGCAATGACACAGAAGCCCAGTCTGATGTGTGTAGAGGTGTGTGTGGTTATTTTCTTGCAGTTTGGTGTCATTTGCATGTAATTTAATCAAGGTACTGTAAACACGATGGACAGGCGTGTGCCATGGCTCTGTGCTTTAATGCAGCACTTGACACGCTAAAGACTTTGTGGATGGGTGTTTTCTCCTTCCTTTCAAACTGCAACACAAATCCAGACATCTTTAGAATCCCTTCAGCCACGTCAGGAACTACAAACAGTCCTTCAGCTGAGGTTGTGTTTGAAAGAAAGAACTGCAGGCAGGGTCTCACACTTCCATGTTCATCTGCAGTTGTGGCTCCTGTTTGATTTTTAGTTTAGAATTTTGCCCCTCAGAATTTTTTTATTCAGCTGCAGGTCTTGATAACTCCTCAGTGTGACTAAATTAAGTTAGCATTCTCCGTTAACGAGACACTGACAGCTGATTTTTAACTGATTCTCTGGGATCCATTTTGGTACAGGCTCAAATTAAACGGCTTATCTTCTCTGTGTTATCTACTCTCAGTGTTCCACTTGTCTCTTGGTTTCAGGCGAGTTTCCATCAGAGCTGCTTTATCTCCGATTGTCATTCTAGACGCCTCTGCTCGTCACAGATTTGTAAAACGAGGTGCTGTTTTCTGCCAAGTAAGCAAACCTTGTTCAATTTCCACTCTGCTTTCATCTTCTTTGAGTCTCGCTGGTATCAAGTTTAACAGACGACTTGTTGGCCAACCCTCCTGCTCAGTGTGGAGCTCTCAAACAGCACAGCTCTCTGTGGTCAAGGTGAAACTGCAGTGGTGACTGTAAACATGAGTTTTATAAGACTCTGGGCCATTAAGTTTCTTCTCTTGTTCTAATAATGAACACTACAACATGATGTCAAATTGTGCATGTAGCTGGGGTAGCTCTAGCTCAGGTTGTAGAGCATGTCCGCCACAATTGGTAGGTTGCTTGTTTGATTCTTTGCTTCTCCTGTTCACATGTTGAAGTGTCTTTATGCCAGACGCTGAACCCCAATAAGTAAGGTGCTTTGGATTAAAAGTCTGCCAAATCAGTTTAATGCAGTTGCTTCAAGGTGATAATGGGGAGGTTTTTTTGTTTTTTTTACCATCGCTTGTTAAACTACAGTTTAAACACACTGTGGGGTTAAAACTTGCCATTTTGTTTGTTAGTTACTAGAACAGAACATTCTAATCCAGGCCAAAGGGTTTGGGCCTCAGTAGATTTCAAGAAGTCACAACTAACACTGCATATTTTGGTTCTCTGACAGCTGTCAATTGAGGAAAACACACTGTAAACCATGCCTCTCTCTTTAAGTCTTAAATATATAGTTTGGGTTGTTTGAAATGGGGTTGTATGAGGAATATTAAGAACATTTTCCACACCTTACCTTGTCATCAAATTGCCCTTTCCTTTGGCTACATTACCTCAGTCCATTCAGTATCCATCTGCATCCGTTCTTCTTCTGTGTACTCTGCTTCACAAAGGTATCCTGTTGCCTCCACGATGAGTGTCACTTCGTTGTCGCTGTCATAATCACACATTTAAATTTTTTTAGGGCCCGAGCACTGATCAGTGCAAGGCCCTTTGGTATCTGTAAGAACTGGCTATTATTATGTTTTTTCTGCCCCTTCAATAGCATTTTTGGAAATGTGCTCGAAAGCTCACGAAACTTTGCACAAAATTCAAATGTGGCCAATATTTACGTATTATTTTGTACCCGTGCACAGGCACTGCCAAATGGCTAAGCCACGCCCCTAGCTGTAAACCGCTGTAACTCTGTTCCAAACATCTGATCTTCAGCATAATATGCTGTGCACAGTTATAGGTTGAGACAATATTGTGCCACAAGCAAGAGACCGCAAAGTAGTGGGAAAAAATAGCTCTCAAACACTGATGACTCTACTAGAAACAAACACTGAGTGAATCACGAGTAAACAATAAAAACATTTAAAAGTTAAAATAGCGTACACTTAACTAATATTGATTTAATAAAAGTTTTTAAGTTGTTGTTTGTGTTGGCTGCTTCCTTGTGTGAGAGTGCGAGACCATCTACTCTAGGTAATACATTGACTTTGGATAAGTACCTCATGCAAACCCCAACTATTCCTTATTCCTTATTCCCGTATCCTCTCTTAGCCCAAGATCCCACTTGTAGGTCTGACATTTTTTCCAGTTCCAACTATCTAAAACAAAGATTTTTCTAAGCAGTGCAATGCAATGAAAATGTTTTTAAAGAACATTTAAGTCCAAAGTCACTGTTAAAGGGGAACGTACAGATGATGGGGAGTAATACTAATATGTGACAAGAGTTATATTAAGCCCTCAAGAGGGAGCGGTGCGAAATCTGATGAATGCATGGATTGTAGTTGTGTGCATCTCATCTCATCGGTCAAGTCTGACCTGGACTAAAACTTTTATTTTGTGCAAATGAGAGCACAAAATCCAACTTAATAAAACTACATGTTTGCATAACTTTGCTACTAATACAACGGTGCTGACTGCTAAGGTGAAAATTAACAATACAGATGACGTGAGACAGAAGTTTGGGGTTTTCCCATTCACTCCAATACAGTGCGGCATTTCTTGGAGGAGCACCTGGTGGACTGCAGATGACCTGCAGCTAAACAACCTGCAGCTTTGACTTCCACACTGACCAATATACATGATTGAATATTCTTTTCTGTGATTGGTCGAAAAGCACTTTGTCCTCATCCTGTTGAAGTGGTTGAAACTCGAATTTCAGACCCTCACTCCTGATGGGCTAATTGCTGTCGGCTCACCACAGCTGCTGATTAGTTTATCAACACACAACTGAGCATTGTTAAAAAATCCACTTCTCCACAGAAGACCTCTCCTGCTGTGTCTCTTTTTCACCTTTTGATTGCTTTACTGTTCCTGCAGCTCACTAATTGGCTGGCTGATGAAAGGCTGATGAAAAAAAAATTTTTCTTTCACAGCTGGACAACGTGGACGAGCAGGCGGCTCAGATCCGCAGAGAACTGGATGGAAGGTTACAGCTGGCCGAGAAGATTTCCAGGGTGAGAAACACACTAACAATAAAACCCAAACTTCTCATGTTATTATGCTATAAAACACATAATGTCAAGATCCTTGACAAACCCACAGAGAATTCTTACCAACTCTGCAGTAGTTACCTGATAGTTTCAGTGATAAACTATGTTGTAGATCAAACAAAGTCTAGAAACTATGAAATTATCTTCTTTTTTTTTTGCAATGTTTTCATATTTTCACTGCCTGAATGTCTGTTCTGCAGGAGAGGAGATATCCAAAGTTTGTCTCTGGTGACATGGAGCCTCTTTATGTGGAGGAGCTGCGTTCGTCGGTCAACCTGCTCATGGCCAACCTGGAGAGTCTGCCGGTGTCCAAAGGAGGTCCCGACTTCAAACAGAAGCTCAAACGATCCTCCATGAACAACTCCTTCCTGGACATGGGAGACGAGGGAGACATCCTGTCCAAGTCTGATGTCGTGCTGTCCTTCACTCTGGAGGTGTGTGTGGATGTGAACTTGTCTGATCTGCTGGTATTCGACTGCACCAAATTGTACACTAGCACTGAATAAGTTAGTTCATTGTCAAGAAATGATCCTCCAACTCCAATTTTGAGAATGTATTAATCCTTTAAGTCATTTATGATAATAACTTTATTTAAATAGGACCTTTCAAAACAAAGTTACAAAGTATGTCACAGTAAAAACAAATAAAGTAAATAAAATACCAAACATAAAATATAAAACAAGCTAAAATAATTTAAACAATTAAAACAAATACCATTAGTTAAGATATATATATATATATATATAAAAGTGAGTTTTAGGACGAGATTTAAAGAGGGTTTCTTGAGTTACATTTGCTGCTTTTCTCTGTTTTACATCAGTGTAAGCTGAATATCTTTGATTTTTGGACTGTTGATGGGACAGGATTTGACAAACAAACATTTGAAGATGTCACCTTGGGCAGTGTTCTGATATTTTATAGATAGAACGATTGAGATCGAGAAAGTAATAGACCTTTTTCCCAGCAACCACACAAAATAGTAAACACAGGTATTACCAATGATACTAATTAAGGTTCAGTTCCATTTAGTGTAGCAGAGCCTTTATAGTGAGCCAACATGCACAACAGCAGCACTCTGACTCTGTTTGACCTTAATGGAACTGAACCTTAATTAGTGTCATTGTAACACCTATGTTTACACTACCATTTCATGCCAAAATGGCTGCTGTAAAAAAGGTCATAGAGCACTGAATGTTTTAGGGTTTTGAATTGTTGCTCAGTCAAAACAATGCATGTGTTTTAACTCTCTGCTGGTGGTTTCAGATTGTGATAGTGGAGGTCCAGGGTCTGAAGTCTGTGGCTCCAAACCGGATCGTTTACTGCACCATGGAGGTGGAGGGAGGAGAAAAGCTGCAGACAGATCAAGCTGAAGCCTCCAGACCACAGTGAGTCCTACTTCTTCCTGCTCTATGTCAGTGACTCAGTTAGTTCTCAAAGAGAATAAAAATAGCAGAGTTTACATACCTGTCATCACATTACGCTTGTGTAAGTTGCATACTGTGCCACGACCGGCTTAAACTAGTTGGGATGTCACAAAATCCTTTCATATGCACACGTGTTAAACTGAGATGCAATATGAGCACAGATAAACTTTATTTCTTCGGCAGATGAATGTGAAAACATTCTGTTGTCAAACTGCACATAAATCATTCTGCACAGCGAAGGTCAAACATTCAAGTGACGTAACAAATCAGCGAAAAGTAAACAAGCCTAAGATTCTGACCAAGTATTCAAAGTAACTATTTCAATATTTGACACTTTTAGTTTTACAGTTCTGGTTTACATGGTTGAGCTTATTTAAAGGTTTCTGTTTGTGGACAAAGTTTGACAAACAGCTCTGTGGCAGTAATCTGTTTGCTACTAAAGAGACATGAACTATGTTCGGAACTAAAACCCAGTTTATTGGAAGCTTCATGTTTACAGCCTTTTGAGCTTTCACTCTTGACTCCTAATTAGATATCTATCTGAGCTTTTGAAGATTAAATCAACACACAGATGTCAGTGAAAAGCCTCCTTAACACAGTTACCTGAAACTGTATCACAGCAGACGCTCATCTTTGCAAAGCAAACAGCGCTCTGGGCATCGTAGACCAAAGACGACTAAACTCCACATTCTATGTAAGGCGTGACCCTCAGCTTCCTCAAACACCTCGATAACCTGCCCAAAGCAATGTTTCTCATTCTTCAGTCAAGGCTGATGCAGCGAGAAGATGAGGCCCTTAGGTAACGATGATGGGAGTCAGTCTCTTCTCATCACATACAAAACATAAACACACACACTGGTTTCTGAAGAAAAGCCCAGCTGAGCTCAAAGCCCTCTTTGGTTCAGTTCGGTCAGACCCCTGAGGTTTTTAATTACAGCCAATCATGACTGAGTCACACCTGGGATGCAGGTTTATGAGCCGGTACGATTTACAAAACAACAGTAAAGGTTTGTAGCCATGTACTTGTGCCCCTGTGAGGCTGTAACTCCTAGTCTCATCTACTTGGCATTAGTGTGGTATAACATTTAAAGCTTGGCGTCAGCTGACATTTAAACTGAAGATTACCTTGCTTACAGTCCACTTACAGTCTCATCCTAATGCTAACAGGCATGCTACAGTGTTAATGTTTGCATGTTAACATGATGGATGTATTATAAGATCTGAATGCTGGACTCCCAAGATGGCGTCTGTTTATTCCATTTAAAGGTTTTTGCAGTACCATGGTTGTCCACTGCGGCTAACTGGCCACAAGGCGGACTCCGCATGCCATATAAAGCTCTGTTAATACACTCATGTTTAATATGCTACAGACTGCTGGACTTTTTCAGTTAGCTTCAGCTTTAGCTAACTCGTGAGCTCACTAACTGAGGCTAACTTAAAGGTCCATCATGTATTATTTAGGAGAATCTACTGGCAGAAATGGAATATAATATTCATAGGTATGTTTTCATTAGTGTATCATCTTCTGAAAATCCCAAAATGTTTTTGTTACCTTAGAATTAGCTGATTTTATCTACGGAAGGAGCGTGTCCTAATCCATCGAGTTCACTATGTTGAACCACCATGTTTCTAAAGAAGCCCAGAACGAGCAAACCACACTGACTCTAGATAGGGCCTTTCGCTTTCTGCTTTAGGCTTGGTTTTGTTAATGGGTTTTAGTTGTTGCATTCTGAATCCTTTATGTTCAAAGTGCGACTTAGCTTCAGTATAACATTTTAGTGTTTATTTAGGGTAGTTTTTCCCTGAGAGCCTGGTGTACTTTTACTGTTTACAGTCTACAGTCAGATTCATGTCACTGAGACAGGGATCTTCAGGTCACAAGTCAGCTTCTCCAACCTTTAGGCTCAACTGTAATCATGTTTCTATGATTATATAGTTATAATAGTTATCATGTTGGCATGTTAACATGTTAAAATGTACATACTGTACTGTTACAAATTCTAGTGCAGATGAGCCTTATGTTTAGCATGTAACATTGGTCATACTGTAAACTGTAAACTTCATTACAATGTTTGCTTCTCTGACCACATTTCACTCTTTCCCACGTTCCCCATGTGAACACATTGTGTCCCACACTCACCATGAATTATTTGGGTCTGTCATTATGTTATATGTATTCATATTGAACAAATAATTTTTCTGATGGGGCTAAACAACATATGATTATTTGAGTTATAGCAGTATACATTTTTAAATACTGCTGTGCAGCCATAAAGTCACATAGAGGCAGTAAAAATGTATTTGTGATGGTAATCAAATGAGAATAGAGTATATTGAAAAAGTGAAAAAAATAACACTTTCATTATACAATGAAAGACAAATAAGACATCAAAATGAGTAATTTCTAAACTAAAACTGTAAAACTGAAATACATCACTCATTTACAAATAAAACATCAGAATATATATTTTCCTGTATCACTTCTGAATTCAGGAAAAAAACTTTTTTTCCACAGCAGCATAGATGCCATGTCCACTGGAAAATAAAAATGTTTTTATTTTCTTTGCCATGGTGGTGCAGCCCGCTGGCGACTGATTGTCACTCAGGTCTGTACATTCTTGCTGGGGGTTGTTAATCATTGGATGCCCATGGACAGTGGGGGTCTGTACGGTAATGAGGCTGCCCTTTCACATGCCCCAGCTGCTGGTGGAGATTTTTTTTTTCTGACAGCCATCTGCCCGCCAGAATCACCAAACAGAGCCAATTAGACAAGCTCACCGTCACCTGACGACCTCGTTGGTCAACAGGGATTGTGTGCTGTAAACCCAGCTTTACTGCAGCTCCTGTAACCTTCACTGTAATTAGCCCACTGCACATTTTCACACCCCTTATCTTCAATAACGCACCCATACCCTTAATGACATCGTAGTTAACTATAATTACACGGACAACATGATTATCTGTGATTACAACGTCGTCCAATTGCTCTGATGACTCCTGCAGTTCTAGCGTAAGCTCTTCAATCACTGAGGACCTTTTCATTAGGAATGCCCTTAATTATTCTGGAATGCCAAGAATCTGCGAATCTGTTTCTTCGTGTTTATTACAAATCAAGTTCACTCCTGATAATTATTTTCCAATTAGTTTTTTTTTTTCTTCCTCGCATTAGTTGTTTCCGTACACAATGAAAATGATTAATGATTGATGAATAATACTACTTGCTCCAGGGCATCACTCGCAAAGCTAATTCACCTTCTTCCAGAAAGTGTAGCCAGGAGGGTTTGGAGTGTAAAGAGATTTTAAAATGAAAACATGGAACAGTTTCATACATTATGTACCAATGTGCCTCAGAGACAAACACTAGCTGATAATAAAGGACAGAGAATCAACAGGAAGACACATTTTAACCAAATGTCACAGTTAAAGCGACACTCCACCTAGGGATAAGATTTTATTTATACATGATAATCTGTGTACAACTCCATTATAGTGTTTTATAAACCAATTAATACATGTTTATATAGTGCTTCTAAATGCTAAACAGTAGGGGTTACCAGTAAAAACTTGTTATAGCTGTTATAACTTGGCCAAGTTTGAACCTTGGAACCCCCGTTGGAACTGGCTCCAACACAATATAGGCAATATTTGGGCTCCACAAAGTCACAGCTATGCTTTGGGCTAAATGCTGTCACCTTCTCTTAATGACAATACGAACATGGTGATGTTAAGGTGTAAGGAGTTTGTGCTGTTTTACCGATGTAATGTTCCCCACTACAGTCACATATGATGACATACAGCAGCAGTAACCTCTGTGGCTGGCAAATTAAGCCAACACAGAAGTAACAAAAACTGCAGTTCTTCAAACGGCCACTTGAGCCTGGCTACAGAAGCAAGTCAATCTCTGTCAAGTCTCCCAACTTTTTACAGCCTGATACAAAAAACAATTATGGTCTCTATAGCTAAATTCCCCGTTCATGACAACTGTGCAGGGGTTGAATTTTTATATAATGCACCGGGTTGAATTATATCAAGGCTTAAACTGCATACAGTTGCACCACTCTGAGCTTCATAGCGGCTCTTCAGAAACCTATGGGGGACGTCACGGAGTCTATGTCCACTTTTATTTATACGGTCTATGGTCAAACACCTCCCTCTTGGGGCGCCCTGTCTTTAGGATGATAAAGATGTGTAGATGTTGGTACATCCTCAAGCCCCAGTATTTATTATTACTTTTTCTTTTTATTCTCTTGTATCCGCATTAGCACAAACCTATAAAGTGATATATGTACAGAAGGAAGTCCGACCTGTAACAATGTTTAGACATGAAGCGTGCTATCTTAATTTGAAAACTTTGTCATAACACTATTATTTGATATACTGTCGTTAAAATCAGACATTGCAGTTTGCAAGTGCACGACAGTGAATCATTTTCATTCTGACTCAGACCAACAAAATAAAACAGCAGCTGAGATTTCACCTTTAAATTTGTCCCACAGTCTGTTTTCTCCGCCGTCTGGTTTTAATGCTTTTGATGCTCAAGGTCAAATTTTGCCAACCAGACGAGATGCTAAATGAAACTGTAATAACCATCATCATGTTCACTTGCGTTAGAATGGTTATCTCAGGTCAGTTAATACATGAGGTCAGAGCTGTTTGTATCAATGTCTGTCCCCTGTCTTACAGATCTAACGTCTGTGATTACTAAAAAAATGTGTGTGTGTGTGAATAAAGTGAACGCACCTTTCCTCACAATGTTGCCTTGGAAACTGGGGAAACTGAATATGGAGCTCGGCTTTGCTTCTCGCCCTCAACAAGTGAAGGGGTCACTTGTCATCTGTGTGCCAAACAAACACACACACACACACTCTTACACATTTAAAATGACAGTTGTGACATAAAGGCATGTAATCATGGGAGCGTGGCTCTCAGTGTGTATAATGGCCATGTCTCCATCATCCTGAGCAGAAGGCTTCACTCTGCTCCATTAGTCTCTGTGAGATACACAATAAGTGATTCTTGACAACAGCTGACACTGATTGGACTGTTTATTGCCTCTGGATCTCTGACTAAGACCTGATATGATGTTACAGCAAATTGTGTAGTGAGTGAAGTTTTCAGGGGTGATGTTAACTTTACAGTTAATGATGTATGAGTAATTGCAATATAAAGGCTGAAAGTGCCTTGTACCGTGGGTTTTGTCGCTTGCAAATTCAAAAAGTTTTACATCATAGTAATTCCTATGCAGTAGCTACAGTTGGGGCTTTGTCCTTGCTTTTTGAGAACAAAAACAGTGTCATACTCAGATTCACATGTGAAGGCTCTCTGATGTTTGAGCTCATGAGTATTTTGATACCTAAAATCTTCCGTCTATCGTCACAGAATCTGACTGAATCTCACAAGTTAAGTTCTCCCTGTGATCAGCTAAGATTCAGATGAGCTTTAAAAATAATGTATGTGTTGGAGGAAGCAACAAACAGACTCCCAAAACAGTTTATTGAAAGTTAAAACTAGGTGCAAAACAAAGCAGAATTCAATAGAACAGAACAACCTTTTCATACAGTTTGGGACTTTTTGTTCACTTTGCTGATGTTTTGGAGGTGTGCTGGTTCAGACAAACCACAGTAAAAGCCTGTCTCCTGCAGCTCTTCATCGGCCTGGGTTCGTTTTCCAACCTGCAGCCCTTTGCTGCATGCCCCCACTACTGCTACTGTCAAATAAAGGCAATAAAAGTTCCCCCCAAAAAAGTTTTTATCAAACTGTAGCACTGCTAACAAACCCACACTAACCCCAGCTTCAAACACACAGAATTTCCAAAAGCTGCTCCACAATAGAAGTGTCGTGCTGGTTTTAATGCGAAGCAGCATGAAATGTTTGGTTTGCATTAGCCGTAACTCAACACAGTTCTGATTCGACTGAAGTACAAACAGAAGGATGGGAGTAAAACTAAACTCTAAACAACAGATATTCAGTTAGAAGCTAGGAACGTACTGAGAGCTAAACACAAGGAGATTTGTGTTGTGCAAATCACAACATGTGGGGCTCCCTGGTAGATAGAGATGTTGCCCCATGTACCAGGGGTGAGTCTTTGCTGCAGCGGCTGGGGGTTCCCACCTGTGGTCCTTTGCTGCATGCCTGATGTAAAACAGATTTTTCTTCTTTTTTTTTTTTGACTTTTCATTCGTAGAGGAATAGACCTCTTTCAGCAGCATTATGACAGTCAGCATTGTTGTTCAATGGCTATGTCCATCGCCTACGTTGTGGCTGGTCAGTTGATGCCTATAGTGTGAGCAAAAAAGTTGTAGTAATGTGCAGTGTCAGAATCAGAAATACTTTATTGATCCCCAGGGGGAAGTCCCAGTGTGTGTGTGTGTGTGTGTGTGTGTGTGTGTGTGTGTGTTAACACAATGTACAAGATCAATAAAAACGCTCAGTGTCTGTCCAGCTTTAAAGAGGATCCTTGTCTCTTCCAGGTGGGGGACTCAGGGGGACTTTACCACGACTCACCCCCTGCCCTCGGTCAAAGTGAAGCTGTTCACAGAGAGCACTGGGGTCCTGGCTCTGGAGGATAAGGAGCTGGGCCGGGTGAGAATCCAAACACACTGCACATAAAACACAATTTAATCAGGTCGTCAGTAAGTACTTCAATATGTACATATTAAATACTGGTTTTTTTTTTAATGGTGTGCTTCCAGTTAAAAAAAACAAAACCCAAATAGTTCATGAATTAATAAACAGAATGGAAGTACAGACAATTTACTGATAGAAAACAGAACATTGGGGTCAAAGCTTGTAACACTCTTTATTTCCTACTATAGGAGATCATTTTACACTTCATACACAAACACTTCACTTTGTTTGATCTCTGGGCAGTTCAACTACAGAGCAAATTAACTCCTTATCAGACAAACTGTCTAACTAATTAACTACTGAACTAATAAACTGACAGGATTATATTTTTATATCAAGACAAACATGATTGTATACCCCCATCTGTGCTGAAACAGTCACTTCTCATCACTTTTACACCACGTTAGTTTTGACAGCAGCAACTCAGTCAGCATCAGTATCAACACCACCACAGCTGAAGGGAGAGGTGAATATAAATACAGCTCATTTTTAAAGCACACATCCTTTTGGAGACTTGTTGGTTTATGTGGGCCTGTAAAAGGGACAATTTTAGGTGGGTAATTTTACTTTTGTGTGAAATTAAGCCAGTAAATCCTGTCATGTAATGATCAAAGCTTTAATGACCCAGAGGTCATTAAGAAGGCAGGTTCAGACTTTTGATAGGAGCTGGCGTGATGCCGACCAGTTACTGTGACTCTCTTCTTGTCATTTTGAATCACTTTGTGTTTCTGTGAGTGATGTCACCACAGAGCTGTAATCAGGATTTTAGAAATGCTAACAATTTGGAGTCAGTAGTCCTGAAAGTGCATGATATGCTAATTGTAACCTTTGGATTTGTTTTGAGGTTTGAAGCGAGGATTTCAATTTGAAATTGATTTAGATTCAAATTGTGAAATTCTGTCCAAAGATAAGACACCAACCAGCTTGCTGAAAAAGTAGCTTCTCTGGGCTGTTTTTATTCCTGTGTGATCTAAAGTGATAAGTCAAAGGCAGCTGAACTTCCTTTAAGCCCTATTCAGACATGGGATATGTCACATGTTGGATTCATCAAGGTATTAAAGTGATGGCTTTTTGTCATTCAGACATAGGTCTTACTTTTCATGTTAATGAGCCTTCCGGCTTTATTCTAACGTGACATTTACCAAAAGACAATCTTAACAGACTAATTACAGGGAGAGAAAAAGATATCTTAAAACCAGAACATGCTCCGAATCACTGAGGGGTTGATGAAATATTCAAATCAGCTGTAAACTCCCCTGGAGAAATAAAACCATCAGTGAAGGTTTAGACCCTTTAATTACTTAAAAAAGTTCAGAAAGTTCCAGACATCCTTCATGATGTTGGAGGTTAACATGAGTTACACAAACCCACACCACCAGTTTGTGTGAGCAGGGTCCTGATTGATTTGAAGACCAGTTCACACTGTGTATGTGTGTGTTGGAAGCGGAGAGATGAAAGACGCTGAAGAAAAAGTAAATAAAGTGCTCTTTTTGCTGGTTGGCAGTAAGCATGGGACGATGTGAACATTGTCCAGTGTGTAACATAATGGAGGATCTATAAATGGAATATAATATTTATAGGTATGTTTCAAATACAACTAAATCCTACACACTGGTCCTTTAAGATTTTTTGGGGGGATCTGTAACATAGACACTCAGTAATCTGACCATGACCATTCATTTCGATAGTTTTGAGCAATATTGCTTGTTATTAGTTGTATTAGTATTAGTACCTACAGACTCTGGACTTAACATTGCTAACCAATCCCTGCCCTTCTCTGCATCCTGTCCCCCCTCAGGTGGTCTTGAATCCAACCACGAATGGGCCGAAGCAGGCCGAGTTCCACCGGATGGTCGTCCCGAAGAACAGCCAGGACACAGAGCTGAAGATCAAACTGGCTGTTCGCATGGACAAGCCACCCAACATGAAGCACAGCGGGTGAGTCTGTAGGGGTCAGTGTCACGGGAGCCGGTCCTCTATAGGAGTGCTTTTTAAAAATGGGGTCTGGGAACCAACTGGGGTCCTTGAATGGGTTAGAGGCAGTCCCCAGCAAAAGGAGAAATCAAATATTTGAACTTTTATCACATTTTCTGGAAGTTGAAACAACAAGGGAAGAAATAGCGTTTTCATTGATTGTCATTTATAGTGATCCTAGTTTAATCATTGACTATGAAGACTTTATTATTTTCACACCTGAAAATAAAGAAAATCCTCTTAAATTGGGGGTCCATGGTCTAACATGCATCTATTGTGGGGGTCCTCGATATGAAAAAGTTAGGGAACCACAACTCTGCTGGGTTGCCAGATAGTGAAAAAAATGTTTTAAAAGACAAAAAGTAGGTTAAACCAGACCGATCATTTAAAGCAATCAGAGGAACAATCAGCAGGAATGAGCTTTATTTGAAAGCTTTTCTCACTTCTATGTGAGGATATTCACTAACTATCCAGATTCATCCCAATAGAGCAAATTCACCACCATACTGCTTTTTATCCTGACAGATAATTGCTGCAGCCTCTATCAATAAACAAGGCTCTAGTAGAGGCAACAATATAAAGGATGTCTACGCCAGTAACTGGGAGGAAAACCCACAGGCTTTATTTTAAATAAGTGAACCCAAGCCAGATCCCAGCCAAAAAGAACAAAAGACAGAGAAACCCCTGAGTGCAGTGCGTTGTCACACCCAGATTCCCTCTTAAGCTACCTTTTCTGAGCTGCTTCATTCTCAACTCCTGTTTGTCTTCTGCATCATAGTTTGTGTGTTTGTTTTGGGGTTTCAATTTAAGCTTTGTTACCACTGTGAGATGAAACAGAACTACCAAATCAGTCTATCCTTTTGCTGCGACTTGACAAATAAAGTGGTTCAAACTTCAAATCCAGCTTCTTTGGAAAATGTTATGCCATGAAATAATAAACAAATTACCAGAGAGGCTTCTTTAATGAAAGAGCTGTCATCACTTTGTGATCAGGGTTTTGTTTGAAGTATATATGTAGGCTGACAGCTACACCTGCTGGTTAAATAAAGGAAGCAGAAACAGTCTGAATGTAATAATGAGATAAGAACTTATTAGTTGATTGTACTTTAACACAGTATAATCCATAAATTCAATTCAACATTATTTAAAGTCAGCACAGAAAAGGTTATTTGTTAAAGATGAATAGAGTTTGTAGTGTGAAATGACCTCACTGATTTCAGTCACTGCTGAACATCATCTGTCATGTGTCATAGGGTTTTCTTAGTTTCATTTGATGTGTCAGCTTTAGAGCTGAAAAATAGTCTTTGTTTGACAACAAGTGTTTAACTTTAATGTTTGCCTTCAACTGCTGGCTGTGTTGTGTGACAGTTATCTGTGCTGTGTCCTGAGTTATTCTCTGTAATCAGAGTGTTTAAAATCTGATGCCTTTATCCTCCATTCTTGTCTCCTGGAGATTTAGTTTTAATGGTTAATTTACGCTACACAAAATTGATTTAAGATGATTTAATTAGACTTCAGAGTGTTGTTGATTTACTCTAGTGACAGTAGACAACAACTAATTCTTAACTGCTTATTTTACAGTTTTGTTTACAGTTACATTTGCAAATTGTAGTAACTGTGGAGATAAACAATTAAAACCGAAATTTATTGTTCAGCCAAACAAATTATATGTGTAGTTCTTCCTCTAAATTACTGTTTAAAAGACAAAATCCTATAAACCTCCCTGAATTGGACACAAATAAACAATTGCAAGTTCAGTTTTAAGATATTTTAATTTTATGTAACATGAAATTATTTATTACTACATTGTTTCAGATTTAAGCAAAACTGCTAAAATGTATAAAGGCTGTCCAGGCAGCGTGTATGTTGTACAATTCTTACTTTCTGCCACAAGATGGTAGCAAAACCCAATTTTCCAACCCACAAATCTATGTTGAGGGAATTTGTCTGTTCATTTACAGCACTGTGTGTGCATACGTGACAGCACTCTATCTGCAGTGAATTTTATTTTGACAGCTCATCTGTGAACCATTTTAAGGTTTTACTGTTTAGAGTTAAAAAATGTGTGAATGTCAGTGACTCATAAAGAACAACCGGATCAAAGATCTTGTTTAGTGATGTTTGGATAATAAGAGACACTCTTTTCTGACCCAGTAGCTCTTCTCCAGAAACTCTGCATATAAACACTCAGCAGTAGCCTAAATAATAATTTGTCTCAAAAACAAGTTTAAAATTGCATATACTCTTTATAAGTTTTTTAAGTTTCCACAACACACTTCTAATAAGTTTCATATTGGGCCACGATTAGCTTTCAAACTAGCTGTGTTGACCCTGCAGGCATTTTAAGGTGAGCACAGAGAAACCTTACCCCTTCAGTAGATGAATGTGAAAAACAATCATCATTCTGCACAGTGAAGGTCTGACATCCAAGTGAAGCAACTATAACCAAACACATTTTTAAGTGGGGGGAGACTTTAAAAATCCCAAATCAATGTCAAATTAGATTAAAATAAGTCTTTTCCTAATTTTACTTCAGGAACTCACAAACTTCGCTTGATCAAATGCAGCTTTTTGCTAAGTTACACTGCCTGCACTCAACAGATACAGAATACATATTTCAATTAAAACATACTTGAGATAACTTGAGAATGTAGTAGCGAATGCATTGATGGCTGAGGGCTATAAACAATTTGGGAGTTGTTGAAAGGGGGATCTTTTCCCTTTTGATGGAGCTCGCAGTTTACCCCTGCTTCCAGTTTTTGTGCTAAGCTAGGCTAAACGCATCCAGAACGTTTTTCTTTATTGGACGCTCAAAGATGATACCTCATCTTCTCATGTGTCATGGTGGAGTTGATCAAGTGAATGTAAATGAAGAGGTAAGTTGTTACTATGATAACACTACACTGTCTGATAACAGACTGACTGAGTCTGGCAGACAGAAAGACAGAGGAAAGGGGGATAAATGCAGTGCAATAAGTGCACTGGTGCAGTTTTCAAAAATCTCCACAAGGGGTCAGTGTGAGTCCAGGGTATTTCTGCTGGTCCAGGTCTTCACCTGTTTAAACTGCTGTAATTTCTGTTCTTATTAAAGACACAATCTATGATTCTGCCACTAAAAGGTGTCATCCTCTGTTTTTATATCTTCTCCATTCAGGTTATTTGATGCTGTTTTTACTGTGAATCTTTGATCCAAAGACTAACACCAGGCAAACAGAGCCTGTATGTATTTCAAAGAGGAGGCTAACTCATGCTGGAATTTTTGTTGCCTAAAGTAAGGATAAAGTAAATAAACAGAAAACGTCAAATGGTTTGGTCAAAATGGTTTTACATTTGTTTTATTTATTTATTTTCCTGGGATCAGACTGTAAAAGAAAATACATGAAAAGGAACCTACACGTTCATGAATCTTTTCAAAGGTCGACAGATGCAATAAAACATTTTACTTTCAGAGTGAAATGGGCAGAAAAAAAGGTTCAGATAAAGTGCACAAACGGGTTCACAGACGATCATCTAACACATTTTGATTTGATGTTGTATGTGTCTAATGATGCGTGAAGATGAAACCTGTCACATGTTCAGCTCAAGCAGCAGTGAGGTTCTTTTTTTAATCTCATGAAGGCTCACTGAGAAAAACTGGATCTGTTTTTATTTTCATGTTTTAAGCGGAGAGCCCTATCTCGTCTATCCTGATCATTGAATACTTGACCTTTTTTGCCTTGATCCTTTTACTGATCAGGTTGTTAAGCTCAGAGGAAGTCAGATGTTTTACATCTTGGTTTTATTGGGATCACAATGGATAAAAAATGCAGCCTGCAGTCGACTCTTTTATAACAATGATAATAAAACATATATATATATATATCTATATATATATGTATTAACTAACAATAAATAAAAATTATTTGCTTTACCTTGGGAGGAGAGGGCACAATGAAGTCAGGGATTCTAGAACCAAAAGACTGAATTAATTAAAAATTACATTTAGGTAGAATCAGGTAACTCTAAACAAATGATGCGCTGTCTAAGCCGGTGGAATTTACTTCCTTTCTAAAATCATATTTTCTTAAAACGAAAATGCCAATGTCGTGAGATTATTTTACTTTGCAGGATAGGGGGCCCGTCACTCTAGAACGACCTACCAGAGAAGATCAGGATAGACACATCTTTGTCCTCTTTTAGTTTTCTTTGAGAAATCCACTTTTTTAAATGTATTTAATTTGTTAGTGTATGTCTAATAATCTATTCTGTTGTTTTATTATTTTTAATATCATATGCTTAATATTTACTGTTGCTGTTAATTATAATTATTATTATCATTATTAATATTATATAATAATAATAATAATAATAATAATAATAATAATAATAATAATAATAATAATAATAAATTACTTT